TTTTTAAAAGCATTAATATCATTAAAAAAGTAAAAAGCATTAAAATGTTATGATGAACCTTATTTGTGTAAATCATTGAAAAACATGATTTTTACGAGATCTACACTGTTCCATCATGATGTATTTAATCATTTCTTTTTGTTTCAATTTTTTATTATTGTAACTAAATCTTTGCACATACGTTTTTGAGCATGTCTTTAGTTATTTTTTTTAGACTAAATTGCTACAAATTGAAATGGTGCGTATTGAGAATGAAATATTTAAAATTCTTGATAAAAACAAGTAAACTGCTTTCCAGAAAGTCTACCAATTTATACCCTCTCCACACATATATGCAAGTGTTTATTTCACTGCACATGTTATTTATTGTAATTATACTTATTTTCCCAATTTTAAAGCTGAAAAATTTTCTCATTTTATTTTGCATTTCTTTTATTCTCCAGTATTTTGATGAAATTTCCCCTTCTTTTTATACTGGGATATGGGGAAAAAATTTACTCATTCATTTACTCATCAACATTTATTAATCGTCTATAATATGGCACTCTGTGTTATCAGGAAGTGGAAAATCAAATATAAGAGTTATTGAGCTTAGTCTAGTAAGGAAGACAGACATTAACAAAGTAAATGTATGAGTTATAAAATATGATTACAAATTAATCAAATTACATGCTAAACGAAATATCAATGATTTATAAAATCAAATAGTAACCAGTGCAAGTAGTGACTTACCTCAAGTGGAAATTTTTGTCCTTCTAAACTATGTTCTGATCCATCAGATGACATATTGCATTTTCCCCAGTGAAAAGTTATCTTGCTTGCTTTGAACACCATTTCTGAAACTCCTCCACTGAGATGGTAATCATTAGTGAGATTAATTTCCACTACAAAAAAAAAAATAAGAAAACACACACAATAAAATTACATCTACGTTTCTGAAAAATCAAAATTACAAATTTCAACTAAATTTTCTTCCATTAAAGGTATGTCAAGGAAATCATTCATTTGATAAATTAAAAAAAACAAAAACAAAAACAACTACGTTGCCATCCTGGAAGCTGGACTTGTAATTCTGTACAATATACTTAATGTATCTTTTTGCCACAAATATAAACTAAAACGAAGGACTTAAATGCTGTGGGACCCTGATAGCAGAAGACAGCCAGTCCACCTGCCCTGTTTGTTTGGTGTCCTGAGATTGTCACTGCCCCAAAGCTCTGCTTCCTAAGGCATTTGATGACAGTGAGGGGCCAGAGTAAAGGGAGAAGGAACAGAAGAGGAGAGAGAGGAAAATCTCTTGGGAGTGCTCCCCCCACCTTCTCACTTTCAGCTCACTTCTACTCCTTTTATGGCTGCTGCTTTCCTCCCATCTCCTTATCCCTCCAAGCAGCACCCCAGGTTCCATCAAGCTCCAGAATCTCTGTCCTAGGCTGTGGCAAGGAAGGCGGAGCCCCATTCCCACAGAAGGGGTTTTA